AGATTACGTGGAATGTTGGCTTTGAGGGAGGGATCATTGGTTGCATTAAGCCATAGTTGCAGGAGCCAAATGAGGTTAGACACCAAGAGACTTTCGGGGTTTTCCTGTACTTAAGGTCACGAGAAGTGAATCCCAAATAATCTTAAAGGCCACATAAGATCAGTTTTCAAAGGCAAATGTCCCCGTTTTCATGAAGTTGGGTGGCCAGAAGCACAAATTTTTGGCAACTTGAAGGGATCTGGAGCAGAAAACATTGCGAGAAATCCAATAGGTGAGGAAAGCTATGTGTTCACAGACACTTACATTCTCACTCAAAGCATAATGTTCTTCCAGGTAAGTGTTGTATGTAGGGTGATTAAAGTCGAATTTGGGTTTGGTTTTAATAACCCTAGAAGGTCCAAAAGGTTCTCTAGTTGGTCGAAGACTAACAATTGCTGCTATGTCAAAGAGAGTTGGGGTTATCATTCCACATGGTAAGTGAAATGTATTGGTAGTGGATTCCCAAAAGCACATGACAACAATAAGCATGTGAGAGTTGTACTTAAGGCCAACTCTTGAGAGTTGTATCAAGTCAAAATTACTCTAATCTTTCCATGACTTTCCATGTTTTTGTTAGACCCTATATTGCCAAAGGATGTACGAAGGGTTGTTAGTCGGTGGATGAGATCGAAAAACACAGTTCTTCATGAAGCTTAAATCAAAGGCTTTATGTACGAAATCTAGGGGTTCTTTTACACTTAGATTTTCAACTACTAGAAAGTCAACAAATAATATCAACGAAAAGAAATTTATAGTGAGAGCATTAATGATGTATCTTTAAGATAACATTAATGGTAAGGCATCGACAGACCAATGACGAAGGGTCGACCGAGCTATCGATGCTGTGAGACATGGTTTGGAGGAGTCTCAGGGATAAATCCCCAAGACCCAGATCATTGGGAAATGTGTCCAAAATCTAGAAAAGGGCAGTCGGTAGAAACATCTCCAGAAACTCTAGAAGGACAATTGGCAGAAGCTCTCATTCCAAAAAGGACCACTCGACAAAACGAATTTGTATAAAAGACTTAGTGAATTTACAAGTCTTTGGGACTTGATAGGCAATGTCTACACTAAACTGGAGCAGTTACTGTCGAAGGATTGTGAAGAAGTGGAAGAAGTGAGAAACAGTTACCACTCAATGTGGGTTGCAAGTAAATAGTGTCTTAGAAGACACGTAAGCACACTGGTGGAAACTTGAAAGATTGAACATGAGGAAAACACAGTAGTCCCTCAGTTAACCATCTACGACGGTTACTTTGTAAATATAATAATAGGAGACTCATACATGGGATTAGAGGTCACAAAATTTCATATATACTCTTCATACCACTAGAATACCCGAGTCAAAGAGCGAAACAGTTGAGCGAGAAACATGTATGTGTCTGCGTCCACCCTTTTTTCTTAGTCTTTTTGTTTCCTTATACGGAATGTGTACTTTTTATTCTTATTTGTTTAATGTTATTTACTGCATTTTACCTTATCATTTATCACATATTAACTTCATTTAATGTCTTTTTCTATGCTACATTTAATTTACACGCACATGTGTTCACACAAATTATTTGTACAAATTACTTTAGAGATTTTTCGAGTTAATCTCATAGAGTTTCAAACTCGCGATTGTTTACCAAAAACACCGATAAATAGGTTCACATAAGGGATAACTTGGGAAAAAATGTCCTAAAACCAGGGTTTCCTACTGTGCTTAGGAAGAGGACCCATGAAAGCGCAAGTACTACCTAAAATAGAATAGGGAATTTAAACTTGAGAATACTAGATTTTCCTCTTCTCCTCTTCCATAGGAGGCTTTAGGACATATGTGTGATTGTCTTTGTGGATATGGTCTGGGATGACCATTGAGAACTTGTAGAAAATAAGTTTTAAAAGTTAAAAGTAAAAGTTGCAAAAAGCTTTTTCTAGGGTTCAAGAAGGGAAAATGTAGGAAAAGAAAAGAGAACGTTAGAGGGGCGTCTAAAGAGCCACAAAAGGAAAAATTCTCAGTTTCCCTATAAAGAAATTTTTGAAAAGTTTCGATCGTAAGATAGACACATGACATTTATTTTCTGAGAAAAAAGAAATTAAAGGGTTTATTTTTAATGTCATTTATTATCATGCTCCATGATTCTCCTAGGAAATCAGAGTTAATGATAGAAGTCTCCACACATATTTGTGACGAGACAGTTTGGTGAATAGTCATGATGACTAAAAAATGTCTAATTTGTTGGAACAAGATTGTTCATATCCCTTGGATTTTGATGATAATAGAGTATTTAGAGAATACATGGCTATACTAACATATGTTTAAGTGTTCAGGATCACAATTTAAGAATTCATCATGAATAAACCCTGTTGAAAGTATAAGTGAAGAAGCAAAGTTACTCAGATTTTGGATGATCTGAATCTGATGACTCTAAACCCTGTTGAAAGTATTAGCTCAGACTCTAATTTGATGTTCTAGCCTCTGGTGACAGCTCAGCCTCTGATCTATACTTTGTACCAAAGCGAAAAATTTCTGAACAAAGTTAACTAGGGTTTGGTTTTGGAAGGCTCAAGGGATGTGATGTGACCTCTTGAGTTTGTTCTACCTTTTGGTAGATACGTACTTCAAAAGTTGTTATGAACAATACCATTATCCATTGAGCAATATTTCTAACCATATCTTAGTCTCCAACGTTTCTCTTGGCATACTTCTTCGCTAAGTTTGTTGTTGTAGAAACCTCCAACAACTCTTTCTTTATCTCTATAAAAGGAAGTTGAAGACTTGAAGGAAGGTTAAAATATTACAACGCATTGAAAGATCTTTGGCATAACTGTGAGCTGTTATTTGTAATTGTTATTGTATAAGATCTTAATATTTCTTATCTTAAATTATCTTAGAAATCTTAGAAAGGTTGAAAACCTTTGTGATTGTTGCACAACTGTTATACCTTTGATTGTGTATTAAAGTATAGTAGTTACCTTTTCTACTAAACTATTTTTTTAAAGTAGAGGAAGTCTTTTATCTGCGTGCTTAAGCATTGAAGTTCCTCGTCTACGTACTTGAGAAAGTAAGTCTCTTTCTATGTTGATTGAGAATGAGTCTCTTACAAGGTTGCTTGAGCAGAAGTCTCTTTCTAGGTTGATTGAGCATTGAAGTCTCTTGCAAGTATGCTTAAGCAATTGTAATCTGTTTGTTTATAATGAAAAACTCTTATTGAGGCAAGGGGACTGGACTACTCTCAGTTGAGGAGAGGAACCAGGATAATCTTTGTGTGTTGCTTGCATTTACTTTTGATCATTTCATTTATGCTACTATTACTTATTCTGATATCAGACTCTGAACGTGGTTCATATTCTGAAGTTCTTAAATCAGAAGTGAAACAGATTTTTGGAATACACAACTTAAACCCCCCCCCCCCCCCCCCCCGCCCTTGTGTACTTTTTCACCTTCATAATTAATGTAACATGTGTAAGCTATAAGTAGAAGTGTTGAACAGTTACAAAAATGCCATTTTTCTTCCATCTGATACATATGATCGAAAATAGCATTTTAGGGGGGCATTTGTTAGCCTGGAATTTTTAGCTGGTGAAAACTCAACAAAGAATGACAATAGCTACGTTGAATATGCTAAGTGTCAAGAGTTTCAACTTAAGGCTTCGACATACTAACCATGTCAATTAAATGGTTCGAATAACCTGTTAGATGAGTCGAGGTGAAGAATAGGTTGGAGGAGTCTTAGGAACAAATTCATAAGATTATGATCACTCACTCTTTTAAACAAGTTCAAATTTCAAGAAGTTTGTCAAAGTCGACACGATTACCAGGTGTTAGGGACTTAGGATATTTTTAAGTTCAAAGACTACGTGATATGAAGATGTCTCAGCATTATGGATATTGGTCAAGGGCTCTCGACATAGGTAATTAAGGTGTTCAAAAGCAGTTATCGCTACGATGTTTAGTTTTTAGCAATTTTATCTTTGAAGACGCATGGAAGTAAGTTAGAGCAAAGTTGCCTAAGTAGTGGGATACGTGTCAGATCTGCAAGATTCATTTGTTGTCAAAGGTTATTTCATAGTACTATATAAGTTAGTCTCAGTGTATAGGATCAAGGTTGTAACTTTTTACTAAATTTCTATAGAACTAAAGTATTCAAGTCACATAGAGAAACAATTTGTTAGAAATGTGAGTTTGCGTCCGTTCTTTAAACTTTCTATAAATCTTTTCTATTTGAAACATTTACTTTAATTTCAATTATCTTCTTTATTGTTTGTTATCTTTTTCCAAAGCATATTGTTTACGTTCAATTTATCATTATTCAAGCATTTAAATTTCAATCATATACATTTTTTTTTTGTAATCTTTTGCACAAATTATTTTTGAGATTTTTCAAATTAATCTCATAAATAAACTAAACTCGTGATTGTTTACTAAAAACACCGGTAAATATGAGATAAACCAGATTTCAATGGAGTTTCAATTGGTGCATAGTAGGGTTCCAACAAAATTTCAATTGGTAAAACCGGAAATTATTCAAGGAGTGTTTTACTTGGTCTGTCCCATTTTCTTCAATGAAGATGAAGACGAGACTCCTCTGTTATTGGCTTGTAAAATCAGCACGAAAGCTTGGGACAAAGTATGTGATTGGTTGTATTTTCATTGTGTTTCCGAAGTGAGCTCTATCCTCTCTTATCTGATGCTCTTTTGTTAGTTGGTTAAGAGTAATTTAGTGGAAGATTCACATTCTTTGGTTATGTGGCTTTGCAGGAATTTCATTTTATTTAAGGATAATTTATTAGTTAACATGGATATATTAAGATGGGATTATTCCAAGCTAAGTTTAAGTGCTTCATATCTCATTCGTGGGAGGAGTGAAAATCTAATTCAACATCAAATTTATAATAAAATTCAATATCAACCCTAACATTTTAGTTTCTATTTTACAAAAACACTATATAATCTTTTCTTCCATGACCAACCATTACTACTCAAAGTAGGGAAGTGTAAGTGTGTTTCTGTAACGGATTAAAGAATTAAGCCGCTGCAACTTCAGTTGCTTTTTAAACATGTTAATAAAATCATCAGCTTTTGCATCAACTCCTTCATCTTCTTTACACGTCGTCGTTTCACTTCTCGCCATCGCCGTCGCTGGCCTCCTTCTCTCCAACGCTTCTTCATCCTCTTCCTCCTCCCAGTCCAACGTCATCGAGCACTCTTTCTCGCTCACCGATCTCTTCAGTTCCACCTTCCTCTTCTCCTCATCACTCAAATCGCAAATCAGTTTTGGATCAAGTTCGGAAGATGAGTTTTCGGATTCAGGTTGAATGTAATGTGTTTTTACTTGTGGTGGCGCAAGTTTATCAAGGGAGAGATTGAAGGACACGACACGCTTTAAGAGGGATGGTATTTGAAAGAGTTGGGATTGAGTGGACTCGGATCCTGACTCGGGTTGTTGTGTAATACTAGATGTTTGTTCTTGGTGGTTGTAATAGTGACGGGTATTAAAGGACTTGGCTCGTTGGATGATTTTGATTTTGGGTGCAGCATTGAAGCAAGAAACGAGAGCTATGGTACCGATGACAAGATTCACGAGGATGAAAAGGGGAGAAGGTGCAAACCAGGTTGCTATTGCAATGAAATGAGTACCAGTCATGGAGTCTGTCATTTTGTGGTTTAGAATGTTTGTGTGTAGTGTGTTGGTTGGTGAGAGAAATGAAAGAAATGAATGGAGGGTGTAATATAGAGAATGATAGGGTCTTTTTAGGAAACAAAAAAGATACTGTTGATAAATATCATCATGATTCATGAGCCACTTGTTACTGTAGTTCAGTTTTCGTGTCGACGTTTACTTCTTTTGGCAGGTTGTCGTTTTGTTAGGATGTCGACGTAACACTTGAATCAAAATTTGGAAAATATCCAAGACAAACAGAAGTATTGAAACCCGAAAACAATGGTCTAAATGTCCCCATATCAAAATCTTGCAATAGATAACATTAGGAATGTTTGGAGATATTCTCTTTAGACACTTTCATCACTCAAGGACATTTCATAAAACAAGTTAAGTTGGCTTTTTGGTCTTGTATGTGGTCGGTAGCTTCCTGGATGGTGGTATAATTAAATCCAAGGGAATTCTATCTTTGAATTATTGAATTTATGAAGAAGACGTGTTTACAAAATAATAGTTGAGGGAGAATATTTTTCTATGTGAATAAAAGAAATGACTTTTAAATTGCTCTACAGAAATTGAATCAGAGAAAAAATAGGTCACACTAACAAACACTAAATACATGGGATAGTGGCAAAGGAATAGGTAAAATCAACAACTCACTAGCAGCACTAACATTGCTTATTCTAACTGACAATAAATAAAAGAAAAACTACAATTTTAACATTCTCCCTTAAACTGATTGTTACTAACAATCAGTTTACTACTGGTTGTTGACACACTTCCAATAGATTGCACAATTTCACAAAGGCGTCAAGTTTCAAAGGCTTTGTCCACATCGGCCACTTATTCTTGAGTACTGCAGTGAGCTAGTTCTATGGTTCCATCCTTTGCGAGTTCACGAAGAAGATGGAAGCGAACATCAATGTGTTTGCTACGACCATGCATTGCAGGTTTCTTAACAAGTTTGATTGCTGAGTTGTTATCACAATAAACAGTTGTTGAGCTGTTTTGAGTATGTCCAAGCTTCTCTAAAATCTTTCTCAACCAGACAGCTTGACAAGCACAAGTAGATGTAGCTATAAATTCTGCTTCTGTAGTAGATAAAGATACTACAGGCTGTTTTTTTGATAACCAAGATATTGCAGCAGAGCTCAATAGAAACACATACCCTAACGTGCTTTTTCTATCATCCAAGTCACTCGCATATTCACTATCAGAGTACGCGACCAACTCTTCATTTCCGCCCTTCTTATAAAACACACCATAATCAACTGTCCCTTTTAAGTATCTTAAGATTTTCCTTGTTGCTCGCAAATGTAGTTTAGTAGGATGCTCCATGTACCTACTTATGAGGTTAACAACAAACATAACATCCGGTCGAGTAACCGTTAAGTACACAAGGCTTCCTACAATCTGCTTGTAGTAAGTACTATCTATCTTCATGCCATCTTGATCCTTTTCAAGCTTCTCTCCAGGAACCATTGGATTAAGAACATAATTACTTTTGTCCATTCCAAATCTCTCCAACATTTCCATCACATATCTTTTTTGACTAATGAATATGCCATCTGTTTTTTGCATTACTTCAACACCGAGAAAGTACCTCATTTTTCCCAAATCGGTCATATCAAACTCAACCATCATGGATTTTTTGAAATCAGCATACATTGACTCATCATTGCCAGTGAATATCAAATCATCAACATACAAGCTTATAATTAGAATTTTACCTCCAGCACTCGTCTTAACAAACAAAGTGTGTTCATGAGTGTATTTTTCAAAGCCTTCCTTCAAAAAGTATGATTCTATGCGACTGTACCAAGCTCGTGGAGCTTGTTTTAGTCCATAAAGTATTTTCTGTAACTTGTACACCTTATGCTCATTGCCCTTAATTTCATATCCGCAAGGTTGTTCCACAAAAACTTCTTCATTGAGTACACCGTGCAAAAATGCCGACTTTACATCCAACTGATAAACGGTTCATCCTCTTTGAGCAGCAAGTGAAAGCACTAGTCAAATTGTATCCAATCTTGCCACTGGTGCAAAGACTTCTTTATAATCAACTCCATATTTTTAAGCATATCCTTTTGCTACAAGTTGTGCTTTGTGTTTGTCTATTTCTCTCATTAAGCTTTGTTTTGAATATCCATTTCACTCCAATTTTCTTTCCATCAGCCGGTAAATTTGTCAACTCCCAAGTTTCATTCTTCTCTATTGATTCTAATTCCAAATCCATGGCATTTCTCCATTTTTCACTCTTCACAGCTTCTTCAAATGAAATTGGGTTAGCACTTGCAAACATGGCCATGTTAGTCATGCTTTCTTCTTCTTCTTCTGACAGTCCTTCTCCACTTTCATAATCCCTCATCCACACAGGTTGTCGTATTATTCTTCTATTCGAATCTTTCCGACTTTCTTCAATTGACTTGTTTGAATCAGAGTGATTAAGTTCTCCTTTTGTTTCTTCATTGATGCTTGTATCATTTTCTACACTTGCAGCATCGGCAAATTTATCTTGTTCATCTTCCCATTCAAAATTGACTTTGATGTTTTCCTCATGTCTCTTATCCCAATCCCAACTTTTATCTTCTTCAAAAACAACATCTCTACTAACAATAATCTTATGAGAAACTGGATCATACAACTTGTATGCCTTTGATTCTTCACTTACGCCAAGTAGAACACAACTAGTACTTTTGTTGTCTAGCTTTGTTCTTTTTCTGTCAGGTACGTGAACATGCGAAACACATCCAAAAACTCTAAAGTACTCAACTGATGGCTTTACATCACTCCAAGCTTCTTCAGGAGTCTTGTTTTTCACAGCAACCGTTGGACATCGGTTCAACACATGAACAACCCAATTTACAGCCTCGGGCCAAAAATTCCTTGGAACTTGTTCCTTATACAACATGCAACGAACCATGCTCATAATGGTTTTGTTTTTCCTCTCTGCTACACCATTCTACTGCGGTGTATATGCAGCCATCAATTGCCTATTTATACCATTCTCCTTGCAAAATTCATTAAATGCTTGTGATGTAAATTCACCACCCCTGTCAGTACGCAAACATTTGATGAATGTATTTGTTTCTTTCTCCACATGATTTTTAAAGCTTCTAAAAGTGTCAAAAGCTTCAGACTTTTCTACTAAAAAATATACCCATGTTTGACGACTATAGTCATCAATGAAAGTAATTAGGTACCTCTTTTTGCTATTTGAAGCTGGTGTAATAGGTCCGCATATGTCAGCATGTATCAACTGTAGGATTTGAGATGCTCTCCACGTGCTCACTTTAGGGAATGGATCCCTCTTTTGCTTTCCCGCAAGGCAGTATTTACAAATTTTAGAGGGAGGTTTGAGTTGTGGCAGACCATTCACCATCCTTTTTTACTCAAGAATCTTCAAGCCTTTAAAGCTTAAATGTCCAAATCTACAGTTCCATAACTGAGTTGAGTCTTCAATGATTGTGTTGAAACAAGCCGATACACTTGACTGAGGCTGAATCGGCAAAATGAATATTCTGTTTAAGGACATTGATGTTTCCATGATCAAGCTTTTCTCATCTTGCATTTTCCATGTTGAAACATGATTGTTAACCCTTTTTGTTGTAGTTGACCAATGCTCAACAAGTTGTTCTTTAGCTCAGGTACATAGAACACGCTACTAATGACATGTGAGATTCCATTCAATTTAAATCTCACATTTCCTTTTCCTTTCACAACCATGCTGGAACTGTTTCCCAAATTCACAGTTTCACTAAAATTTTCATCCAAATCATAGAATACTTCCTTCTTACCACACATATGATTACTACACCCTGAGTTAAGGAACCATGCTTCTTCCTTAACTGATTCTTTATTTTCCATGAATGCCATCAAAAGCATTTCTTCTTGAAATTCTGCAAAATTGACTTCACTCCCTTTGCTTAGACATTCATATTGAAAATGTCCAAGTTTATGGCAGTAATAACACTCCAAAGTGGACTTGTCAAAGTTTGACATGCCCATTCCTCCTCCTCGTCCGTGAAATCCTCCACGACCATGACCGCGGCCTCTTGTTCTATTTTCATAGGTTACTTTTAAGGCTTGTTCTTCAATAACAGGAACATTCATACGTTGCTCATGCACCAGCAGGCTACTTTGCAATTGGTCGACCGATAAGGCGTCAACGTCATTCGATTCCTCAATAGAGCAAACAACATAGTTGAATTTTGGAGTCATGGACCGCAAATTTTTTTCAATAACAACAACATCTCCCATAGTCCCTCCATGAGTTCTCATCTTGTCGGCTATGGTGAGGGTTCGAGAAAAGTACTCGTTCATCGATTCTCCAACTTCTATCTGCAGGATTTCAAATTCCCTTCGAAGTGCTTGTAATTGTGCTCGTTTAACCCTTGTCGTCCCTTGATACTTTTGTTTCATTAAGTCCCAAATGTTCTTTGAAGTTTCTTTCTTTAAGATTGTCTCCAAGATAGATCTATCAATTGCTTGAAAAAGATAATTCTTTACCTTTAAATCCTTGAGTTTCTGATCTTCAATAGTTTTTCTTTGTGCCTCAGTTGATTCTGCACCCCTAACTGTTGTAGGGATCCTATTTTCAACCAAACTCTAGTATTCCTTGGATCGAAGGAAGTTCTCCATGAGTATTGCCCAATAGTCATAGTGACCATCGAACTTTGGAATTGATGGTTGAACAAAGCTGCTATTTTCTGCCATCTGCTTGAAAGGACTATTGCTTTCAAGTATTGATCAGGCCCCCTCTAGAGGAGCTCTGATACCAATTGTGAAGAAGATGTGTTTACAAAATAATAGTTGAGGGAGAATATTTTTCTATAATTGAATAAAAGAAATGGCTTTTAAATAGCCTTACAGAAACTGAATCAGAGGAAAAGTAGGCCACACTAACCAACATTAAATACGTGGGATAGTGGCAAATGAATAGGTAAAAGCAACAACTCACTAGCAGCTTTAACATTGCTTATTCTAACTGACAATAA